TATACGTAAAATCGGTAAGGAGTAAAGCGAGTAAATTGGTGCACAGAAACGTACCCACTAGAACACTCTTGCGGTGAGATGTCCACACCGTATAAGATGTGCTCGGCAGAGGTCGCGGTTGTCGCGTAACAGGCAAACCGACAAAGGAGGACTAACCACCTCAATCGGGTTATCGGTGCATCGCGGTGAAGACAGCTGCAGTATCTTCACAAGTTTAGACTCTAGCAGACATAGTCTAGGGCAAAGTCGGAAAAATTCCTAAACCCATACTCCTTTTATCTCTCCCAACTACGAAAAGACTGTGAACACTCAAGGGACCGTGGCCCCTGTGTACAAGTACACTTTCTGCATGTCTTCACAGTAAAAACCGTACTATCCAGAGGAAAATTTCTTTCAAGGTCGTTCTCATTTGCGTGTGAAATTTCCAAATAGCATGTGAAATACTAATTATTCTTGTTCTCCCTTTATTTAACAATTTTGATCTCAACATCGATCAATATCGGAATTCACATTTATTACATTTCGTCTTATCGCGTATCTTAACGCGGTTTATGTAACTGCTTTTTACTCGAAACACCAAGTAGGAGGAATGCATGCAATAAACTCGATAACTAAATTACTGAGAACACTCACGTCATCTTGGGACCCCTGTTTTCGAACTGAGTAAACCTTCAAAAGTTTTGAGTGATTCTCTAAAAAAGGAAGTCTGAAGTTGAAAGAATGAAAACCGAAGTCCCAGTAGTTAGAAAAGTTAGTCTCCGGAGGGGGGGGGGGACCCGAGGACGGCACTTATAGGTCATAGTTTACTCAGAAACGGTTCGTTTGTCTGGGCGATTGTATAACTCTCGAGGAAAAAAAGACAGGTGTGTGTAATAAAGGCGCTCCTTCACCTTTAAATTTTTCTTTTTTTCTTTTAAGTAAGGGTAGTTGTAACTGGTATAGTCGTTGTTTTTTGTTGGGGGTTGGTGTAAAGAGTCAGAGTATTGGGAGGTAATTCAAGAGGGATAGTCGGAAATTCGTTTACTGTGTGGAAGTACATATTTCAACCTCCTTATTTTGAACATGTACTGCGTTGACCTGAAGTGTAGGACAGAAGCCCCTCCTTAGAAAGGCTGGCGCCAAGGTGCAGCACTCTCTCAGAGAGCAAAGCAGCAGAACACAGCTGCAGCGGTCCTCGGCACGAAGTATTATAGAGCGATTATATTCTCGGTAGCACTGGAGCCCGGGCGTCTTGTCGCTGGGATTTTCTGTCTTCTTCTTCCTTCTCCTCGAGGCTCAAAGAAAAGTGACTGCCTCTCTCTTATGCGTTTGTGTAAAGACCGGCTCTAAACTTAGTATCTAACAGGCACGACGTCAATGTTTATAGATTATAGTATACTAGTACACAACATTCAGTACGAGTACTCAAAGTAGGAAATCAAATATAATTTCTCCGGAAACATGGGTACTTACTTATGTACAGACAGACGCTCACACAATAACTCGTATCCCAGCACATTTGTTCCAGTTATCGCATATCACGACACATTTGATTTTTCTTCACGTATTTTGGAAACTCTAAGACAATAAGAAATCTATCTTTTACACGACAACCACGTTCGTAAGACCGAGAATATCACAAGATGTTGTCTATATTATGAAGGAAGTTAGTCGTCACACATACACGAGAGGGTGGAGACACAGGAATGAACGATGGGGAAAAGGGAGCTGGATAGGATTCCCTCACGTACATCCATCTGCCAATCAGGGATCGACGATATCGGAATCTGACAGCCCCCTCCCTGTGGGATGAGGCAGAAAGACAGACAGACAAACATGGACTCATGAGAGTACAAGTCTTATTGGTAGGAAAATAAAGGGGGTGTAAAATAAAAACACAGGTATATTATGCGGCCCTTAGACTCAGCCTCCGATTAGGACAACGACACCAGGCCTCAGGACCTAGGAGAATAGGACTCAAGGACCTAGGAGATAGGGACTCGTGACCTAGACTCAGGACCCTGAACTCAGTACCGACTTGGTCAAGAGACGCCAGGACGGACTGGAGTAGTATGATGAAGGGACTACCAGAGGGTGTCCAAAACGACTGTAGGAGGCACACTAAGTAGAAGAATAATGTCTTGTACGTAAAGGATTGTAAAACCTGATGCGACATATTACATAATAGAGAATCTAAATGTGTTGCCGTAGATAACGTGCAGACAAGGCAGACAGGACCCTCCTCCCTAGGGAGGGAGAACTACGAGAGGGACTCCAAAGAGGGTACAAGGAGAAATTGACCACCCCCAAAAGAAGACCTTCAAAAAGGAACATGCTCACTCCCAGACTCCTAGAGTCTCCCACAGCACAACAGTATGACTATAAGACATGGTTTGCACCTTCTGGTGACTCTGTTTGCCATTGTAAGCACTATAACCCGATACTTTAATTGTAACTAACTTAAAAGATAAAATAAAATATTTGTCCTGTTCAGTTTAGTTCGCTTAGACAACCAAGAAATCGGGCACTATATGACTCGCATATGGTGGTGCCCATCCTAGACATTCAATGAAAAAGTGTTGGTCAGCATAGGAGCGCGCAGACTCTTTTTGTCATATGAGCGAGGCAACCCGGACTTTTTGACCTTGTTCCTTTCGTCGCCTCTTCATGCCCCGTCTTCCGGGAGGGAAAACCTGCGTCGCCAGGTCGGTATCTGTAGTCTGCCGTTTTGTATAGAGTCACAGCGCGTCAAGGGAAACGGTAATCCCGGTCCCATATCTTCTCTATTGAAAACTTTCCAAATCTGTTCAGTGAATTACGACGATAAAAATTTCGGTCGTTGCTATAAAAGTTTAGACATAGTTTCTCCAGGCGTTTTTGCGCTATAGCTGGGTAGTTTCTAACGACACTAAACTGAACAGTCAAAATATTTATATGAAATTTAAAGAAGGCAATGCTTTGTTTGAATCGTTTCGTATTTTACCTTTGTAAATTCTAATTAGAAGCTGGCAGGCCCCCCAGAATGATTCAGTACCTCTCACCTAACTCGTCACGGATAGAGGTCTTTTTTTTCGTGGGATTTTGATGGCTGTCACCGTCTCGATGCACTCTCGTCCATCTTGGGGTTGACCTTTTCATGGTGTTAAGTTTTTCGAAAGACTACGCCCGAGAACTTTGTTTCGTCTCTTTACTTACTGGCAATCACGGTGTCCACGCTTTCGAGAGGAGGTCTCGATGACCTTCGGGTTAGATGCCCCTGGCCTCTTTCACCTCCGTTATAAGAGCGGTGCGGTTCGTGTCGAAGCTGTGTGGAGTTGGAAGATGTTCACTGGTGCATTCGTGTACGATGACTACCGACCTGTCAAAAAGTCACCTACGTGTTATTTGTCGGTTGTATGTGTAATTACATTTATTGTCGGGTTTATTACCCTAGTTGGCGGAGACAGGATTATACAAGAGAACGACAATGCACAACAACGCATCGTTACAGGTGGAACTTGGAGTACAAAACACCTCCTTCCGTTGCCTCGCCTGATAAAATAAAACTTGTAGTAATAAATGATTATTTTTGATAAATTTACATTCTCACACATAAAAAGAAAGTATAACGGTGTGAACTTATTGGCAAAATTATTTTCGTTATCGAGTGAAGTCCGGGCACTATATACGAGTAAATATAGTGTCGATTCCCCCAACAGCTCGGGAGGCGAAGCGCAGGCCCGGCTTGGTGCGGGGAATCGACACTATATTACTCGTATATGGTGCCGGACAGCACTCGGATAACCTGAATTTATATAACCCAATACAGGAACTCACAGGATTCCAAAGCCTAGGTGTTGGATGACTGACTTTTTCCCTCAAAACAAATTCGCTTTCTATGCAGTATTACCACAGAAAAATTAACTCTCTTCCTTACTCTCACAAGAACATCGAAACGTCAAAATTTATCATTTTTACAACCTGGAGAGATTAAACATATTAAATAAACACTTTTCTTTTAGAAAGAGCAGGTGAATGATAATTGTATTAGGAGAAATAGAAAATTCAGTTCATTAATGTAGTTCCATATATTTACTAATAAGAAAGTTAAAGGTATAGCAAGGACTTTCAAGAAGAACGATGTGCTAACTTTTATCAAAACATTACCGTTCTTCTACAGTATTGTCACAGACTACCTCTCCCCTTACACTCATTAGTAACGAAGACGAATAAGTGGTTGAACAAAATTTTATTATTCAAAATTACATACATTATACACAATTTAGAAAGTAATCCGGTAAAATTTCACAGAGTACAGTACGCAAAGGGGCCAATAATGGGCAGGGTAAACACCCACAAATACTCCGAAAAGACGTTACATTTGCCAGACGTCTCAGTGTTTGGGAGGTTTTCATTGGGACATCTCTCATTCTTTGAGATTGGTGTCTCTTCTGGACAGATACGACGGGGTCTTGCGGAGCAACCTGTAAAGAGGAAGAAAGGTTACAAACGAAGCACCCAAACACTGCACCACTTGTGGGATTTAGTTGTTGTTTACTGGGCCTAACCGGAGGTGCGCTAACCGGGTTTACCTG